CATATTGCAACCCCTAAGACAATCAGGGAATCAAATCGCGGAGGCCCATTCCTCTGCCCATCATATCGACGAGCCTGCATCGATGGATGGCTCAACGGAGTGCTTCTCATTAATTATTAATAGCGCTCAACTAATCGATTGCTCAATCAATTCATAAACGACGGCGTTAATGGATTCTCCGATCGGTTTGGTGGCCCCAGTCCACCTCTGCGCGCATTCCCGCCAGATGTCGCGGCGATCTCCGAAGAATCACCAACACTGCCGTGCTGAGGAAATACGCCGTATGAGCCTTTAAGCGTTGCCAAATATACTTTGATAAATCACGAACTTATGGGAATATTTATTAAAAATGTTCTTTCGATTTTTCAGATAATTTCGTTCGTAATTTGATGTATCCAAATAGTGTAAAAATTTCAAGGAAAAATTAGAGTATCTTTGTGGGGAGAGTACGGAAAACGCAAAAATTCGGAGGTTAGGTTCGATCAGGTCATGTAGCTCTTAGGGCCCAAAAAGGCAGCCAACCCACGAACTCGAATTATCCCGTGGTACTAATTCAAACTCCGAGAGTAGGTACACTGATCAAAGATTATAAAAGCACGAATAAAACTTTGATTTTCCATACATTTTCCAAGTTTCAAAGTCCTCATCCTTGAAGCCGCTTGTTTACAATGCGCTGTCGGCCCTATTGATTAATCTTTCAAATGCATAGGCTGGCAGCGGCACAATTCTATAGTGCTTTTCGTTTTTTACATTGTCGCACTTTTGGGCCCTGAGAGTTACATAAATCGAGTTGTCCATAATCAAAATACTGTAAAAATCTTCGACCTATAAAGGAACTCTAGGAAAAATATTGATACCTTCACTGGAGAAAAAAACACATTGGATCTAGAGTCCAGACTCTTAAAAACGTTGACAATAAAAAATAATCTTGATTCGATCGGATTTTTGCTTAGATCAAGAACCAAGCCTCTTAATTTGAGCGGATTTCCTTTTGATTCAAGCTTAAATCTGATTTAATCAAGAGTCCTTTTTCTTGTCAATGTTTTCAAGAGTCTGGGCTCATGATCCAATGTGTTTTTTTCCAGTGTTCTCTAAAAAATAAACATTTTATCGGAGGAAATTTGGCAACTTTCGAATGTTGATACGTCGTTTTTCCTTAACACGGTAGAAGAGCGCTCGACTCGGGGCTCTTAAAATATTATTTAAATATTTAAATTCGAAACAAAGACGGCGGATGATTGATCGAGCGGCGGGCTTGGGGTAATTACGGCTGCTTGACGTGCAAGTAGGACCGGGAAACGGTGATTGAAACGGCGCTGTGATTAAGACGTGCGGCGGATCTAGGGAGGTTGGGTGGACCTGGGCGAGTGGGCCATCCCAGTCAAGTGGACATTGACATGCCGGCGCTCGGAATCGGAGCTTTCGCCTCCGGGCCGCCGCGGTGCTTTTCAAGAACCAATGAACTGCATCGAGGACGTATTTGAAATATGTATGCACCGCGGCTCGGTTTATGATAGGCTCGTCAAGGAGGCTCCACGTCTTCCGCAGAGAGTATTCCAGGAAACTCGATGAAGAACTGCTCAGGGATTGTCTCCAGGATTCAAGGTTCAGGCTCAAAAATATTTGACAAGGAAAAATACTCTTGGTTCAATTGGACCGCGTTAAACAGAAAGGAACCAAGCCACATTGGGATCGAACTGAGAAAAAAAGGTTGAAAGTTTGGCTCCTGCGTAAGACGCAATGTAAAAGATAAACTTCAAGTTCAATTTCTGCAAAATTTGCTCCAACAAAAACTTTGAATTTTTGGCGATAGATAGTAGAGCAGTGGTTGAGTTCAAAACCACTCATAACTCAATTTTTTTCCAAAATGTGGGTTGGTTCCTTTCTGCTTAACTCAGTCCAATTGGATGTTTACGTAAATCGAGAGCCAAGCCTCTTAATTTGAGTGGATTTTCTAAAAAACTCAAGCAAAAATCCGATTGAATCGAGAGAATTTTTTCTTATCGGTTTATGATAAACTCGAGCAGGAGGCTCTACTTCTTCCGCAGAGAGTATTCCAGGAAAGTAGATGAAGAACTGCACTGAAAAAAAAAGTCTCAAGGATTCAAGGCTCTAAAAATATTGGACAAGTAAAAATACTCTTGGTTCAATCGGATTTTTACGTGAATCGAGAGCCAAACCTCTTAATTTGAGCGGATTTTCTTCTGATTCAAGCAAAAACCCGATTAAAACAAGAAGATTTTTTCTTGTCGATTTTTTTAAGAGTCTGAACTTAGGATCAATGACACCTGTTTTCCAGTACAGTTCTTCATCTTCTTTCCTAGAATTCTCTCTGCGGAAGACATGGAACCTCCTTCACGAATCATTCTCCTTTGAATCATACTGAATTTCCAGTGTTTGAGAGGGTAATTTGCATGTGTAGGTAGACTCTCCCATACAATAGCGTCTTCTTCAGCGTAACCTTCACTTTGAGAACTCGATTGAGATCGACGCTTATTTTAGGGAGATCAAATTTCACAATAATTCTGTTTCTCGTTCATTATTTCGAAAAATGTTGTGAGGTCAGAATAAGGGATGGATGCTTTTCTTCTTTCCTCCTTAAATTTTTATCTCAGGTCATCTTTTCCCTGACATCATCACAAATCAGATGGTAAAATAGAACTGCATGCACAGACTCATTCAAGGGCGAGCTGAAAAGGGCCAAGAATCGCATACGACCGTCGATAAAAATAGGAGCGGGAGGACTCCAGGAGGAGGAAGAGAGAGAAAAAGAGAGAGAGAGATAGATGCGAGACTCTTTTTACACAGCCTGCGGAGGATTGAGATGGATCATATCGATAACAAAACCAGAAGATAGGTCTATGGAGGAATGCAATTAAAGCTCCAGTAGCTTCTGGTGGACAAGCCGCCTAGGCCCGGACCTAGCTCAACGCTGCCAGTCCGCGGCTAAAATCGAAAGTTTTATCAACATGTTTCAGCAATGACCGTATATAATTACGCAAATCATCTAGTATGAAACGTAATACAAATGTATATGTTGAATAAATAGTTAGTTATTTACTGAGAACACACTTCCTCATTAAAATCTCACGCAGGACACGTTGAACACTTTGAAAAACCTAACAATCAACAAATCTGGACACATTTATGCAAAAGTACTATCTACGTATGGAGATAGACTTCGCCTGGCAAATTAAAACTGGTTCATTCAAAACTAACCCGCACACACACCCTCCCTCACACACATCCCCTTTTGAGCTTGGTCCGTTTATAGTGGTGTAAATTTTTTGGGGAGAGTACGGTCATGTCAAAATAAGGAACTCATAGAGCCCAAAAGGGCAGCCAATCTTTTAACGCAAAACATGCCATTGCCAATCTCCAAATTCCAATATCCAACCAAGATGGCCAAGAATTTTCAAAAATGATCGTCCTTCCGCAAAAACGAGTGAGTTTATGCAAAAACTAAGTCCAGTGCGTGATTTACAAACGAGGGGTTTTAAGAATTATTGTAAAAATAAATTACTCTGGATAAAATTAATTATTCTTAGGTTGGCTGCCCTTTTAGACCCTAAAAGCTCCATGACCTAACCTCAAATTTACGGACTCTCCCTGTACTCTCCCAATCTGGACTCTTGTCTCTCATTCGAATTTTAAACATAGGTGCCATCTTCGATGTGCTCGATGAAACAATCCGATGGATTTTCTTCTCGGCGTTGGCAACGGGTGACCAGCGGCTACTTCTTTACCCCTTGAATGGGTGGAGGGGCCGGTGGGCCGGGGGGGCGGAGGGGGAGGGGGTGGGGATCGGAGAGCCCGCGGCTCGTGCGTAGCGTGCTGCCGCCTTGCAGCCCGTGACCAATCTCGAGCCGGTGCACTTCATTGTCGGCCCCACGCGGCCGCCGCGGCCCCGGCTCCGGCTCCGATCGCGCCNAAAATTTCACCTTGGATGCTGCTCGAGGAAAATCAGTTGCGAGAACTAGGGGTAGGGTGAGGCCCCCCTCTTTGTGAAAGGACTGATGAAATTTTGTTTTTATGGGCGTGGAGATAATGAGGAGGATGAAGAAGGAGAAGGATAAGGAGATTTGGATGAAGTGGGAGAATGTAGAATAGAAGGAGAGGAAGGGGAGGCGAAAGAAAAGGCTTAGGAAATGCACTGGTAAAAAAAGTAGCTTGCATTTAGAGTCCAGACTCTTAAAAACATTGACAAGAAAAAATACTCTTGATTCAAATAGAAATCCGCTTAAATCAAGAGACTTGGCTCTTCTGTTCAAGTAAAAATCCGATTGAATCAAGAGTATTTTTTCTTGTCAATCTTTTTAAGAGTCTGGATTCTAGATCCAAGCTACTTTTTTTACCAGTGTGGGGAAGGATGAGGATACGTAAAACAAATACGTAAACAGAGGCAGATCCAGCAATTTGGCAACACCGAATTCTCTCAATTTAAACCCATGTTAAATAATCGATTCTTGTCAGAGCGCTTGGCCCCTCCAAGAATCGATACACTTCCTTAGGTTTAAATGGAGAAAAACAGTGTTGCAATTTGATGGATTCGCCAAAGTGCGTAAAAGAGGAGGAACGCATGATTAAGGGGTAGAAACTCTGGTTTTTGAAAACTCGCGAAATTGTATTTTTTGAATGTAGGGATGAGGAATACGAGAGGGAGAAAATGAGAAGGACCGTAAAAGATGAAAATGAGGTGGAGAAGTAGAAGGAGGCAGAGAAGGAATAGGACGAGGAGGATGAGAAAAGGATAATTTAGGGGATAAAGGAACAGAGATGGAAAAAGAGAAGGAAGAAATTTTCAGAGATATTTTGTGATTTTGAGAGAGACAGAACTTATGACCCGGAGAGTTTTTATGAAATGAAAAATGAGCTTTAGGGGTTTTACATTTTAGAATTACCTTGACTTGATACAACCAGTATTTGAATGTCTAGGAAACCGCACTTTATACATATGTTCATGCCATAAACCACTTAAAATGCAGCGTATAAAAGCTTACCTTCTAAAATCGTATCCATCGTTCTTCGATACAGTGTGTGCCTTAAATAATTAACAGCTGGCATGAAAAAAATTTCTTCGGGCCGCTCTGGTAAAAAATATACAACTAGTTCTGAATTTGCTCCTATTGTTTTGACTGCTTCGTAGATAGGTTCGCCTGATGACACAAGAGAAAAAAAAACGAAGTTACATCAAAAAGAAAAATTAAATTTTAAGTCAATTAGAAAACAAAGCACGAATGCAAATTTCAAGAGATAGAAAAATCCGTAGAATAAATGTTATTACATTGCTGTGGCAATTCAGTCCGACCGCACTGGAGTGGCGCAATGCGTGGAGTATTCACGCAGTCTTGTAGGCACCATGCGTTTCACGCTGACCGCACTGTGTTTGGCGCAATGCGTGAAGTATTCATGCATTCTTGTAGGCGCTATCCGTTTCACGCTGACCGCAATGACCGCACTGTGTTTGATTCAATGCATGAAGTATTCGTGCAGTCTTGTAGGCGCTAATATGTGTTACATGTCGATCACCGCGTCGAGGGCTTCTCCTTTTCATCTCAAGCCCTCGTCATCATTCCTCTCCAAGTCAAATCCAGGTCAAATTGCGTGTTTGGTTTCTCTATTACCTCGATTTATTGAAGGTGCTGTCACTTGTATCACTGAAAGACGACAAAATTAGAAATTACTATACTCTCAGGAAATGAGAGATTGTGTCGCCTTTTTTCGTTTGTAATTTTTTTTTCCTAAATTCGATTTCTTTTATACCTACATTTCTAAAAATTGCAAAATTTGCCACCCCCTACATTTGCCGCCATGGGCCAGGGCACATGTGGGCGCCCCTTTAATTCAGTCCTGATAATTTACAATTACATTTAAACCTTGCTGACCACCGAACGCTTCTCAATTGCCATTTATCGGCGATCCTTTTTGGTTTCTTTTGATTGATCGAAATCATGACTCATGAGAGTTTTAGCCCATCTAAACTCAGTTTTGGGGGCCACAAACTCACCGCTAATCCAAAAAGTAAAACAAAAAAAGGCACAGGAAACGTTCACAGTCAGAGAGATTCCCACGGCATACAGCCTTACATCCCATTGCTTTTGACAGTTCAACGAACTTCGAAGGTCACTCGAGAAAGCCGCCTTTAAGTCGCGAATTAAAGTTGACGGGGGAACCGTACAAGCATGACAACCACGCACTGTCAATCTGCGCACGGATTTGCTGCGCAAAAAAACTGAACATCAGATGTCAGCTCAAAATGTCTCAATTCAGAGACGATACCGCGATTTTCCGTTCATTTCCTCCCTGCAATTTGTTAAGCGGTGTAGCGCTCAGCGAAAAAAAGTCAGAGAAAATTCAAAAAAAAGGAATGAGTGCAATACCGGGCGACCGACAAACATTCTGCAGATTCTTCAACCTCTTTTTTGTCCTCTCCCGTTCGCGGTAAAAAGAGAGAAGAAAGAAACAAGACAGATCTTGTATTTGCAATTTATTCGCTGGCTAACGCGTAACTTGGAGAAAAGAGAGAGATGGAACCATTCTCCACAATGAACTCCGCGAGAAAAAGAAGGGGAAAAAATCTAAGAACTTTGAGATAAATTAATTAGTCCAAAATTTAACAGAGAGGATGTGACGAAGCGAGGCAGGCCGCCACTTTTATGAGATTGCCGTCTACAGGCTTTGAATGTTGCCAAAAGCAACCGGAAATATCAAGAAACTGAGACAGTTGCTTAGACAGCTATTTGATGATCGATCATGCGAGGTTGCAATTTGATTAAATTGTTGAAAGTGTTGATGCTTTCTTCGAAATTTTGAAATTTTTTTGAAATTTTTTCTTGATAAGGACTGCTCCGTAGTTACGACTAAAGTTTTACTTGAAGCACTTAGAACTGTATCCATTGTTGTTTCTTTAACAGTATCTTCCTGCATGAAGCCCCACATAGTTTAGATTGTGGTTAAGGTAGGTAAAAGGAGATCCTAGGCATATCATCGTAAAATGAAAACTTTAATTAAGCTCCAGTAAAATTCAACACTGGTACTTTTGGAGTAGACCCCTCTGAAGGATAATAATGACTTGCGATTGCAAAACATTTAAACTTCAAAAGAAAATGTTTTATGATTTGGTAAACTTTAAGATAGGCAAAAACCTACCTTAAAATTTTTAAGACCTGCACATTTTTTCTCCGTGTGTTCTAATTTTAATCCTATTGAATGATCCATTCCCAAAGTTATTCCTTTGAATTTGTCTTTTTTTATGATGATGTGTCGAGGATCTCTTTGAACCTCTCTTAATCCCAACAGAACGTATTTCTGCCAAACGTATTTTTAGCTGCGGACTACTTTCTTTACTCGGCGTTAAAGTCTCCTAGGAAAAATGGACGTACTTCTGTTGAACGGAACTATGTGCATTATGACGTAAGCCCTTTTACGCATTCATTCTTATGGGTCTCAGGGCTCATGTCTTAATTTATATAGTTCCGTTAGGCAGAAATACGTTCAATATGTATAAATCGCATGAGGCCTTCTGTGGAAAGGAGCTGACCAAAAACCGACTATGAAAACGGTCCTTTGCGCTATGTGTTTAACAAAACAAGTTTTTTCCTCGGCATTACGAAATATTATCAAAGATAGGATATTTTCCGCCCTAATGAACTCCATTTTTCTCAGCGCGTTTTCCATAGCTGGCAACGTGAAAAAAAAAAAACTGAGCTCAAATTCAACGACGGTATGCGGTGGGCCTTTGAGACAAACACCTCACACTCGAATGCCTGTTGTGTCCGAACACATCCGATCAAGAGGCGGCGAGTTCAGAGGACCCGTCGAGAATTATGGCCCAAATTATCCGCATAGATCAAATTCGGGGAGCCAAAGCAGCTTTGCCCGATTGCACGAAATTCTCAACAAATTTTGGATGCGTAAGTGATGATTTTTTGTCAACCTCAAGCCAATGTCTCACCCATCAAACTGGCTCGGTCACATTTTGTCAAATCGCGGTATGAGAATCGTGTTCGGCTTAAACGCTGCCGGCGGGCTCGTAAAATTCACCAATTTTCATCTGATTTCATACGAGGTAATTTATTTTACGCGTGAAATTTGACAATTGGGTAGAACAAAATATGCGAAACCTCTTGGAAACAATTTTTGGGTGTAAGACTCAAAGGTTTCGGGTAGCGTAACGGTTGGGGATGAAAATTTTGCTAAAAAGTGAGAGTTACGTATATTTTTACTTATTAATTTATTTATTTTATTCAAATATGAATAATTTTGAAGCAGCTTAAGTTTTTAACAAAGTACATTTTTTTGGTCAGGTTTGACAGCAGCTTTTGATGCATAAACCACGTCAATGCATTTTGAATGTGAAGACACATTTTGAGCGGTTATGTGAATTTTTTATATGAACAGCCTTTGTTACACTATCAAATACATATTGAAGCATCATAATCAGTATTGGTTTATGAGCGGTTACCGTAACAAGGTCAGTTATACAGCAAATTAAAATTAAATGCCACGAAGTAGAATCGAGAGCTCCGCCTTCAAAGAGAGTTTGAAATGCATAGTTCTTCATTCTATCGTATAAAACATGCACATTATTCAACTTTTCTTTACACACGTGTTACTTTTCAGAACTGATTAGAAAAATCAGCCTTTCGGAATTACAGTACTCCAGTTTGTCAATCGAATAGTTTGTAGATATTTTATGCGATCCTCTTATTTTAGGAAAATTTTTGCGCGACATCTTGAAAAAAAACTTATATGTAGGTGCGCAACTCTTGTATCTCACTCATAAATCAGATTCATAAGAGAAAACGAAAAAACAAGTCGGCCAAGTTTCAATGATTTCACAGCTTACCTTTAATTTTCGTGCCGACGACATTGACATCATCGCTATACGTCCTCGTTGTCCTGACAAATCGGACCCAATTACAATGCCTAACCGCCCGACCGGCCACTTGCGTGATATCATCGTAACAGCCAAATCGATGTCTTATCTGAAAAGAGAGAAGAAACATATCAGTTGGAAAACCGCCCTTAAAATTCAAATGCCGCAAGTTTCAAGAACAGGTGTCAGAAAATCTACTGATTCAAGTAAAAAGTAATAAGTCGTTGGATTAGGAAATCTCGCGAGAAAACATTTCTCTCACAGGCAGTAATTCATTGTTCCAGAGAGAAAATATTTCTCTCCGGAGCAATTAGTTGTAGCTCTGGAGAGGAAGTATTTTCTCTCCGGAGCGATTAGTTAGTTCCGGAGAGAAAATGAGAAAAAACTTATTATTGCGGAGAAGAAACACTCGTCTTTGAAGAGGAAACTTTCGTCTTCAGAGAGGAAACTTTTTGAGCGATCGAAATCCTGGTTTCCTATCGGCGTTTTACTTTCAACATGCGCTTACAACTCGCAGGTGAATCTGCCGCTTTAGAAACAACTCCAATTCGTCCGAGGACGAATCGTGAGCCTGCCTTGCCGCGAAAAATTCGAAAGATTCGACTAAAAAAGAATGACGTCTCTTTAGATAAGTACAAATAACGATTCTTCTTGTCCCCCATCTTGTCCGATCCTTTGACGGGTGCCCTGATACGTGGGCTCGGAGGTTATGCAATGAGACGGGGCCGGCATGAACCCAAGCGTGGAAATCCATCAGCGATGAGCCGCGGAAATCATCACCAATCGCTGCGGCAAAGTCAACATAGCGCCAGCGAGCGCTCATCAATCACCAGCGTTTCCTCACTAGAGATCCAGTGTTGCCGAATCAACTGAAATACGCTCCTGTCGAATATTTCCCCTTCAGAAAAGTTGGATTTGTCCATGAATTTGACACCTCTAGCGATGAACGTTGTTGGCGACGCCGGCGTTAGGCGCCAGATCAAACAGGACTGGGGAGGGGGGCACCTGGCTAGGGGGGGTTTTAATTAACTAACTCATCAATACTCCAGTAAGGAGATCAGCCCCGAGGGCCCCTGGAAATTCAGAGCATGTCAATCAGAGTTGCATGTTGGTACTTTAAAGTTACGTTTTACAGGAGTAATTGAAGGTATTTTGGAACTACAATCAGCTCTGTCGTTGTGTCCAATTTCCAAGGAGATCCGTCCTGTTTTCCAAATGTGTCCAAAATTGTATCTAATTTAGCGTGTAATCGAATGAAAGTGCCAAGAAGGAAATGCCAATTGTAAGAAACCTAAAACAATTAGAATAAATAGATACAATTTTGTTCAACACAAACTGATTGCACTGGAAAAAAAAAACACATTGGATCTAGAGTCCAGACTCTTGGAAACATTGACAAGAAAAAGGACTCTTGATTCAATCAAATTTAAGCTTAAATCAAGAGGAAATCCGCTCAAATTAAGAGGCTTGGTTCTTGATTTCAGCTTGAATCTGATTGAATCAAGAGTATTTTTTCTTGTCGATGTTTTTAAGAGTCTAGACTCTAGATCCAATGTGTTTTTTTTCCAGTGTGCAGTAGACGCACGGGTCGTGAGACAGTATGTTGGAATTTTTTTGGCCAACATGCCGTAAAAATCAGCATAAAGATGAAAATCTCAATACAGAGGGAAAAAACTCATATGAGCACAATTTCCCCTCATAGAAATACGCTTTTTTTACGCACAATCTTATTATAGAGATTTTGCAATTTTGAAACGTAGTTACGATCCCTCGTCTAGGAAACGAAGATATATGAAAGTCAGCTTATGAAGCGATAGAATTCGCTAGTCTCGATAAACGCATTCAATTAAGAGGCGGCACGGCGCGGCGCTGCTGAAGAGGGCCCGACAGGTGAAATAAGTTCTCGACAGTTGACGGAAAGGAGATCAGGGCGCAGTTTTTCAGCGGCACCTCTTCAGCGCGGTCGCGGTGGGCTTCCATCGGCATCGGCCTCAACGGCAGAACTGCCGCCCTAAGTAAAAACGCCGTATGAGCCACCAGGCGTTGCCAAATTTCTTTCGACCAATTGTCAATTCGCAGGAAAAATCGTGAATATTTCCCATCTAATTTTTCAGAGCATTTTGTTTGTAATTCAATCTGCAAATTCTGAAAATTTCAAGGAAAAATATTCACAAACTGATTGCGGTAGACGCACGAGTCGTAAGATGCAGTAAGTTGCAATTTTCTAGCCACCGTGCGTTCAAAATCAGCATAAAGCTAAAAATCTCGATACAGAGGGAAAAAGCCCGTGTGAGCACAATTTTCCCTCAAAGAGATACGCTGTTTGGTGCGGCATTAGGACTCAAATACTCGCTGAGGATGGGTCCAATTAGACCCGAAACGCGTCTGCAGTTGCCTTCCTGAATGGTCGTTACTGGTGTTGCACAGAACAGCGCACCTCTTTGAGGCAAAATTGTGCTTAAATGAGCTTCTTCCCTCTGTTTTGAGATTTTCAGCTTTATGCTGATTTTTATCGCACGTTGGCTAGAAGATTCCGAAGTACTGGAAAATATTCACAAAACTTTCTTCCAAAAAAATATTTTCATAATATTGTCAATCCCTCCCTACATCCTCTTTGTCTATAGCTTTGTCTATCAATTGCAACAATCAGCCTGCAGTTCTCGATTGCGGTTTTTGATCATTTTCACTCATGTTTCATTTTCTCGGAGAACACCGTCCTACGTTTTGTGACATTAAAAAATATTTTTATAAATATTTTATTTTTAGTAAGAGGAAATTTGGCAACATCCGAATGCTCCTACGTCGTTTTGACTCAGCGCGGGAGAGCGGGACGGGGCTCGGACGCTGATGAGCCGCGCGGCCGGGGCAAATCGGCTTATGCAAATTCGTTATCACCATTTATCTCGATTCCCGGCCACCGCGCTGCTTCATTCAGTTTTACGAGTGCCCGTCGCGAACCGAACGTGGCGCGTGACGTGACGTGACCCCACGACGACGGACGGCGCGAGCCTCGAAAAACCGGGAAGCAAGTCGCTTGTAAACCCGCCGAGCTGCCGTTCCGAACAGGGTGCTCTGCGAGTTGGGAAGTGATCCGAGATAAATCAAGGGGGAACCTAAAGAATAAACTTTGCACTGGAAAAAAAAACACATTGGATCTAGAGTCCAAACTCTTGAAAATTTTGACAAGAAAAAGGACTCTTGATCCAATCAGATTTAAGCTTTAATCAAAAGGAAATCCGCTCAAATTAAGAGGCTTGATTCTTGATTTAAGCTTAAATCTGATTCAATCAAGAGTATTTTTTCTTGTCGATGTTTTTAAGAGTCTGGACTCTAGATCCGATGTGTTTTTTTTCCAGTGCGTAATAAGGAACCACTACTTCTGGTTCGTTTCAGAAAGTTCAACTCCCTCTGAAGATCGGTTTTTTTGTGTATGAGCTGAAAATAGTCGTTTTCTTATTGCAAAATGAAGTCCTGCAGACTGATTATTGAAATTGATAAACAAAGCTATAGACAATTACACCACGATAAGAGATAGAGGGTAAATGCAGTAGTCAAGTAATAGACTCACTAACGGCAGCCCATTAAGAGACCCTAAAGTCAGTCCATCCTTTCCCCTTTAGTCTATGAGAAGCACCAAATTCAACCAGTATAGGATCGCACCATACTCCCTGTGTCTTCTTTGTCTATGGTTTCGTCTATTAATTTCAGTATTCAGTCCCCAGTTCTCGATTGCGGTGATCGATCATTTTCACTCCTGTTTTATTCTCTCAGAGAACACTGCTCGACGTTCTTGTGTCGAATTTTTTGAGAAAAATGAGGACGAAACGGAGAAAAAGAAAACTATGTTTCGTGATAAAAACAACGCTCAAGCCACATCTTTTACCGGGGAGACTATGTTGCTAGTAAATCAACCAAAATTAGGTTTTTGGGGATTGAAAATTCAATTCCTTGGATCACTTTAATCTATCTCCATTTGATGCATGTGCCTTTTTCGACAGGGTTTCGATCTTTTTCCTGGAAAATACAATCAAAATCACTAATCATACTCTCTGCACTCTGTGAAATTAACTTGCCGTGACTAATAGAGTTTCAAACTCGTTGATTTAATCAACCCCATAAGGATAATATCCGACGAAACTTCCGGAACACACTGTACTCGCCATAATCCAGTTTGCACAGGGCAATCTCGGAGCCGCAAATATTTGTGCTCGTATGTGAAATATCGAATGACTCCGCGTCGTAAAGCGATAGATGGCGCGCGAAGTAATCCCGGCGGATTTTAGCACTTCGTTGGTCGAGTAGCGGCCCATCTCCGATTGCCGAACCGTCTTCGGAATCCACCTGTTCCGCGTTGAGATCGGTCGGGTCGGCATCACACTTGACATCCGCGCACCCCATTCGTCGATGACACTCGCTGACATGAGCCAAAATGATGATCAAGTTTATCCCCAACGATCCGTGCTTTATCGAGCGTTGACCACAGCGCCGGGTTTCCAGAAACCAGTGAGTCATTGATCCGCGCTACCTTGTCAAGGAAAAACACAGTATAAACTTTCGAATCTTGTCAAATTGCCTACGGTAATACGCAGAGTTTTCGGAAAGCTTTTAAGGCTCGTTCTCTGGATATTTCTCAGAATGATGGAAGGAGTTCAATCTGGCGTTTTTGAAAGTTTCAAGGGAAGATATGGATAACTTGCCTTGAAAATAAATAATTTATCGTGGATAATTTGGCAACATACAAATGTCCGTAAGACGTTCTCCCTTGGGAAAGTAGTTTACATTTTACCTGGACGGATTACACTTTGCGCGTAGTTCAGAAGTGAAAAAGTGATGGATTGAAGTTGCCGAGAGGATTTTTTGGATTCCGATCTCGGCTGGAAGTTGCCCTCTCATCACACCAAATGTCATTGTAAGGAATCATCGTAGATCTATCTATCCGTGATTCCCCCTGAGTAACCGAGCGGACCATCAGCGGGTCGATTGTTGAATCGTTATCGAAAGAACTCGATCGATAAATCCCTATCTCGGCAATGTTTTTTATCGATCAAGGTCATTCGATAACGATTCAACAATCGACCCGCAGGAGGACATTTGCCTTCTGCGGCATGT